GGGCCGGCGGCGCGTGCTCATCAATCTGTACTGCTGCGCCGCCGAGGACGCGCGCTTCATCACCGACCCGGGCGTGCGCAAGTGCGGCGCACTCAGCCTCGAGCTCGAGCCCGCGCCCGTCGACGGCGCGCCCCCTGGCCGCCGCGAGATCCGCGCCGCCATGCAGTTTGGTGACACCGAGATTAAGGTCACCGCCGTCGACGTCAGCACCAATCGCTCCGTGCGTGCCGCCATCGACTTTCTCTCCAATTGAGGACGCGCCGGCGCGGAGCCAGCCCCCTCTGCCCAGCCCACCCTGTTTCGGTCCCGGGGTCTGGGGAGCCGTAGGGCGGAGGAACCTGCTTATGCCCCTTTCTCCGCCCTCCAGCCCTGGGGAGATGAGGTCATGCGAGGGTGGGTGGGGACACATCTAGAGACTCGGGCTTTGGGACTGGGCCCTGGTCCACCGACTGGAAGGAAGGCTGAAGAGCGCTGCCAAGGACTGAGGGGATGAGAAAGACAGAAGAGGTTTGCAAGACGGTGCGCCCAGCCTGGCAGGGGTGTGTGACCCCGAAGACAGAATGCAACAGAAGACTTGAGCCCTGTCCTGGACTGGAAAGGGGGGAGGGGAGAGGCCAAGCAAGGCAGGCTGCAGGAGGAAGGTTCTGCAAGGCCTGGACCCGAAGGGCTGGAACTCGCTCACTGACGGTCTTAGCCCATACAGGGAGCCGGGCAGAGCAACCCTATGCCGCTGGAAAATGACTGCAAGTGGATACTAGAGGGACAGGGGTATTAGCACCTTCCTGGGTGTGGTACTGACCACCCAAGTATGACTCTTAATTGTAGGAAGGGCAGTAGTTGACTGATGGGGAGAAGGATACATTATTAAGGCGAAAGAGGTTATGAAGGGATGTGGAGGTACCGTTCTGGGGGCCTTTCCTTCAAGAAAAAGTACATCTGGGAAGGCCCAAGGACACCCTATGAATAACCCACTTGCACCCCACCCCAGCCATGGAAGGGCAGTTGGGGGTTAGGGGGATAGGGAGAACAAAGAGAGCACTGGAGGCTGGTCTCAGCTCTGCCATTGACACAGTGTGGCATTAGGACATTCCCCGATCACCCATGGGTCTTAGTTTCCCCAAGTGTGAGACGTCAGGCACCTCCTTCCAACTATGACATGCAACAGACCCAACTGCCTGAGGACCCTAAGGTGACAATAAAGCATTTATGCTCAAGAGGAAGCCACAGCCTGCTGGCATCACACAAGTGGGGACCGCCAATAGTGGAGTAGTGTTGGGGTTGTGGGTTCTACAGAAGGGAGAAAGCTTTCAGCTGTTCACAGGGCTGGAACTGACCAGAAGGGGGTGCTGTTGTCTCCCTGCCAAGCATCCCAAACAGAACTCCCCCTCTCCTTAAGGCCTCTCTCTGGCCTGGACAGGAGGCCCCACCCCATCCAAATTAGTTGTCTTGGCAGCTAGTTCCAGGAGTAAAATGCCACCTGTGCATACCTCTTTTGGGGCTAGGTGCTACACCACCACACCCTGCCCTTGCCTCCTCAAAGAATGAATTTACCCAAGACCTTCCTTGGCCCACCTGTGAAAAATTGGGCGCTCTCGGGACTCCAGAGAACAAAAATTCCTCTAGCCTCTGGAATCCATTGGAAGCTTTATTTTTTAAGGGTTTTATCCCAACCAGTCATTTAAAAACCAAGTAACATAGACCTGAGGGGTAGGGGTTGGGCACTGCACCTCCCTCCTACTCACCGTGGACAGCAGTGGGGAAGAGGGAGTGTCGGGAGAGGTGGCTGAAGCAAGACAGCAGCAGCAGTAATGGGGCAGTGACCTCACGACATCACAGCCAGCTCCTTTCTCTCCCAGACCCTGGCTGGAGCCCCTATGGCTTGAGGTGGGGAGTGGATAGAACCCAGCCCAGGCCCGCCCCCACCCCTCCTCAGAGACTACTCAGGAGCTCAACCCATTTCTTCTGGCAGGAGACTGAGGCACAGGGAGAGGAGGAAGTGGGAGAGGCAGGGTGGTGGTGTGAACGAAGGCGGAGGTGAGAGGTGTTGGCGAGGCCCCAGCTTGGAGGCCTCTGACACTCCACTCCCACGTGCACCCCGGGGAGGGCGAGGAAGCCACACCATCACGCAGCATGTCGGGGAAACGAGGCGGGGTTTAAGGCTGAGGGGCCACCAGGTAGGCGGGGCCGCGGGCCTCAGTCGAAGCCGTGCCAGTCGCTGTGCTCGGAGTCGTACTCTAGTTCAGCACCCACGCACTTGACACCATCCAGCAGCATGGGTGTGCCATGGTGCCGGTCTGCAAGGCGGGGGTGCAAGTTGATGTGCCACACTGTGACCCTGGCCCTACTCCAAGGGGACCCCTCCTCCTTCCCCCCAGGAATCAGCTGGGGGGAGGGCGACACCCGCCAGGGAGGTTGGGAACCCTGAGCCTCAGCAGGGCTCCCGGAGGGGGACAGAAATCCTTGGGGCCAAGTTCACACCTCCCTCCTGCACTCACCCATGACACGTGCCTGCACTGTCACGCGCACGCAGGCACCGGCACCGCCTTCACAGGCTAGTAGCATTTCCTCTTTGAGGACACCCTCCTTGTGTGCTGAGTATTCACACTTGACGCTGTAACCTGCCCGGGGACAGGGGCAGGCGATCAGCACCTCCAGGGGCCCCCCGATCCTGTCCCCAGACCTCACTGTCCCACCAAGACATGCTGAGCCTCCTCAAGAAAGGAGCAATGATAGTCCCCCATCCCCACAAGGAGGGGTGCACAGGCCTCAGAAACTTCGCATTCTTCAATGAGCTGGAAGTGCCTCTGGCCTACAGACCTCCCCAGTATGGCTCCAAGGGTGAAGCAAGATCAAATTCAGGCTTCCAGGAGGAAGACCCCTGATTCCTCAGAAGGAAAGCAGCAAGAGTGGGTGATGGGGAAGAAGGCAGTGGCCCAGGGCAGGCTTGGAGTGGACCAGGTGGCAAGAGGCAAAGGCCTGAGGGTCTCACTGGATCCACTGAAGGGCAAGATCATGAGGAGGTGTGTTGGGAGGGAGACATGAAACTGAAGCTGGGGCTCTGAGGGCGCTCTGCATGCAGCACACTGCAAAACTGACACCCTAGCCTCTGCCAGGCTGGGGGTGGGGGATGGAGCAGGACCTCAAGCCAGCCTGGTAGGGAGAAGCAGCCTGAAACCCAAAGCCCTGGACTGCTGGGTGCTAGCAGTTAGCCACCCAAAGTTCCTGTGGCTCCAGCAGGTTCTTCCTGAGGGGCAGGTGAGAGGGAGGGCTGGAGGCCTAAAGCCAGTTCTTCAGTGGCTCCCATCTCAGCTTCATCCCCACTGAGGTAACAAGTATTGCTCGATGGCAGATGCAGCCCTCCAACGTGAGCTCACAGACTTCTGTCCTGGGAGTGAAGCCTGGGCCTGGGACCTGCTAACTTGCCACATTGCAAGCTCATAAAGAGGCACGACAACTCTGATTTGCAGAGCTGCCCATCCACCTGAGCTGAGGGGAAGGGAGCACCCCACGTTCGCACTCCCACTAACATCCAGGCCCTGCTGGAGGAGGGCAGGCCTCCACCACCCCAAGGAGGGGACACACCTTCAGGGATGGGCATGATGCTGAGCAGCTTGAGGTGCAGGCTAGGGACAGGTGCCTCACGGATGTCCTTGCTCAGCCTGCGCACTGGGGGCAGAGTGAAGGTAATCTCATACTTATGCAGGATCTTCAGGAAGCCAACCTGCAGCAGGAAGGGGCGAGAGGGAGGCACTTTCATTTACTGTTTCCCCCAGGGACCCCCCGATCCTGCCACCTGTGATCCTTGTGGGCCCAGCACCTGCTTCCCTGGGGAGCCCAGGGAGCTTAACTCCCTCTATCACACCAGCTCGTCCATACCCCTGGCCTCCTGGCTCCAGGCCCTTTGACAGAAGCCCTTCTCCTGAGGACCTCATCCCCACAGCTTGGTGAGCACCCTCCTCAGCATCTGCCTCATGGGCCCTGAGTCCTCAGGTACCCATTATACAGATGGAAAAGATGGAAGCCAGGAAATGACTGGCTGGAGGCCACATGGTGTGGCCAGGGTAAAGTCATTCCTAGACCTGTTGGCCACTCCTGCCATGAGTGGCACACGGCAAGGCACCAGCCACTGCCCGCCCCACTACCAGCACCTGTCCAGAGCCAGTAGCCCAGGGTCAAGGCCGCTGGGCCTCCAGTCAGTCATATGGAGACAGCAGACAACACAAACAGCACAGGCTGAGGGCTAGGATGGAATTAGATAAACGGACACTAGCCCAGCTGTATCAGTCCAGAGCTGGCCCACCCGGGCTCCTGCCTGCCCTGCTGCCACCTGACCCTGGATGCCTGCTTGCCCACTCCAAGGCTCTCTGTGCCCAACAGCCACTGCTCACAGCCCAAGCAATTTCTGTTGTTCATACAGTGCTTGGCAATTGATGCCTCTGGGACAGATGCCATCCTTAGAAACTCCATGGTGTGAAGGGTCAGAAGCTGAGGTGGCTGCTGAGCAGGGTGGCTGATGGGAGCGCCAGTCCAGCTGTACCCCCAGTTCACATGGGCACACACACTCCTGCTCATAGTTACTGGAGCTGGATGGCCCTGCCCCTGGGAACAGGTGAGACTGGCTGCATGGAGCTTTTAGCCTTTCAATTGGACCAGGCTGATGTCACTGCATGATAAACCTCAAACCATGTGACCTCCTCATGCTCTACTGGTGGAGGGGGCATAACTCTCAAGAAAGTTTTCTGGATGTACCTGCCAACTGTAATCCTGTGACCCAGCTGCACCACTTGCAGAATTTTCCAGGGGAAATACTCAGAGATGTGCAAAAAAATACTCATCATTGTCCTATTTATAACAATGAAAAACAGAAACAGCCCTATCACCCAGGAATAGAGAACCATCTAAATCAATGATGACACATATTCATATAATGGAATACTAGGCAGTTGTAAAACCTCATGGAAAATTATTTACTAACATAGGCAGAAGATGATTCACAACACAAACAAGCAAAAAACAGCATGTAATTGTGATACCAGCTTTTTGTTTATGGAAACAAAGCTAAAAAACGAGGCTGGAATGACACACATCAAAATATTAGCCATGGTTATTTCTCGATAGTATGTCTGTGGGTACTTTAAAATGTCTTCATATTTCTCTCTGTCTTCCAAATTTTCTCTAATAGACATAAATAAATTTTGCAATGGGGATAGGGAGCTATTTTTTTTTTTTTCCTTTTTGTCTTTTTTCGTGACCGGCAACGGATCGCAACCCTCAGTGTTGCCCCCGTACCGGACCGGGACCAGCCACGGGATCGAAACCCTCGGTGTTGCTCCCGCCCCTCGCTCAGCCAGTGAGCGGCTGGTCTGTATGTGGGATCCGAACCCTCGGCGGGAGCGCCGCCGCGCTTCTCAAGCGGTGCACTACAGGAGTGCGCCACCGGGCTGGCCCGGGAGCTATTTTTAAAAGTTTTGATTCAATCTCTTTATTCCCTTGGGGAAGTTGTCAGTTGTGCGAGAAAGAGCAAGCATTTTAGAGTTGGACAGAAATAGATACAAACCTGGCCCCTTTCTGAGCAGGACAGCAAGCCCCTCCTCAGGGTGGTCTCCATGGACCAGACCCCCACACCCTAGTCGAGCACTTCTGCTCAACTCTGGACCCCTGCTTTATTGACCAACCCGAAGATTTCACTCCCCATCTTCTGCAATCCAGCTGCTCCAGAGCCTCCCTCCTGCCTGGTTCCAGGTGGATGTAGGCTCCAGCAGTGCAGTGTCCTAGCAGCTGGAGGGGCACACTGGAGGTGTGGCCATGAGGAGAAGCAGGTGCTCCACCGAGCAGAAAATGTGGGGTGATAAATACTACTGCAGAGAACCTAAGTCAGCCGGAGATTTGGCAAAGCAGGGTACAAGCAGCCACACCTGTCGTCATCATTAGTAGCTTCACACCTGTGTCATATACATACTTTCATTCTCACACCAACTCCATGCAGTGTGAATTGCCTCCACATGAGAGAAGAGGAACCGAGGTGACCTGCCCAAGGTCACACAGCCACAATGGCAGGCTGCGACCTGAACCCAGGCCTGTGGCACCACAGCCTCAACACCTACCTTGCATTGCTACTGTCTGGGAAAGGCTGGTGACACCAGCTCTGATCCTCTTGATTCGCGTTGCACTCATCTCACTGAGATTTCACCACCTACTCTTACAGATGGGGAAGCCAGGGCTAAGGGAGGGGCAGAGACGTGCCTATGAACCCAGCTGAGAGGAAAGTGCCCAGAGAGGCCTGGGAGGCCAGGCAGAGCCAAGGAGGAGGTGGAGGGAGGCAGGCTGATGATGGAGGAGGTGTGCATGTACCTTGACCAGAAAGCTGCTGTCGCTCTCCTGGGTGACCATGACCACTGAGTCATGCAGCTTCTCATCGAAGTGGACATGGCTCTGGCAGCCTTCTGCATCGTGGCCTGCAGCGAAGCGGAGACTCCGGACTCTGGGCTTGTTGCCTAGGGAGAGTAGAAGAGGGCTCCACAGGCTGGGCTCCTTTCAGGGCTAGGTGGACACTGGATCCTGAGGCTTGAGGCCCCCACCCTGCCTCTGCGAGTCCTCCCACAAAAAATGCCCCCAGAGACTGGATGTAGAGGGGGACTCAGGGATTGGTTAGTATGACCCCTCACTTGGAGGGGATGAGGCTAGCACCAGATATAGGAAGAGACAGTCCTGCAGACTCCCATCAAGCAGTGGGCAGTGTGCAGCTCAACCCAGGCCTGTGGGCACCGTGCCAGTACTCTCCGTCACAGTGCCAAGCTCCCCATCCCTGGGACCTTCTCTCCCAGGTCTGTCAATGCATTAAGCCCCTGCCTGCCCCTCCTGATGACCCCAAGCTGGGGGAACAGGGACAGGAATGGGACCTGCCTGGGATAGGAGAAACAAAGGGAGTCAAAAAGCCCACCTAGGAGAGGCTGCAGCTGCCACTAAACCTCACTGATCACTGGCAGGTAAGGAGGAAGAATCCACAGGAGCCTCCCAGAGACACTTTTCTCTCCTCTGCTGAGCCCACCATCAAGGCCCTCAGATGTCCCTGAGCTGGGTCAGGTTCTCCAAGGCTGGAAAGGGCAGAGGGCTGAGACAGGCAGAGTGGCAGGGAGCCAGGCTCAGGGCCTGGGCTGGATGGTTGCTCGAGCTGCAGGAGGCCGAGTACATAACCCCAGTTCTCTCTGAGCACCCCAGCCCATAGGCCTCCTGACAGCCCTGCCCAGCATCCTTCTGGTGGGGGGGCCAGGGCCAACCTTGGCCTGGGTTCTTCGACACTCAGTGGAGACCCTGGACCAGCTGGCACATCTACAGTGCCTGCTAAGCCCCACAAACCTGACCCTAAAATTTTACGTTTTCCTAAAATCCTCCATTAGCCCTCCTGGACTCTGAATGAAACCCAAATTCCTTTCCACAGCCTGTTGTGTGGCCCTGCCCACCTTACCAGTCTCACCACAAGCCCCTCATATGCCCCCCCCACCTCCCAGAGTAGAATGGGGGTTGGAACATGGAGACACAGGAGCACATACCTCCACAGACTAGCAGGCCAAGGGGTCCCTGCTAGGGCTGGGGTGAGCCCTGGGACCTGGCAAGCACTGTCATATTCCTACACATACACACAGCTGCTGCAGGCCCTGTGTGCAACAATGCCCCCTCCCACCAAGGCCCACTGGAAGCCCTCATGCAAAGCCTGCCCAGTAGGATGCACTCACCCCTGTTGGCTGCAGCCATGGACGCCCTCCCTGCCACTGGGTGAGATATGCAGCTCCTGACGGACACCACTGCTCAAGCTCAGCAGCCTCCCATGCTCCAAGGACACCAGCAGGAGCCTGAAGGATGGGGGTGGGGAAGGCAGGGGTCAGGGCCACTCATGGGCCCATGGCTAGGGGAGAGCAGAGGAGCTCCCTTTAGGAAGGACCCAAACACCTCCCACTGCCCACATTCCCCGAGAGCCCTCACCCCTGCCTGACACCTTGCTGACCCAGGGCCCTGCCAGCACGTGCCGAGCTGCAGCTTCTGGGTACCAAAGTGCCAGCAAGGGACTCTTGCACCCAGCCCACCTGAAGCTGGCAGGAAGGGCAAACTGGAAAGGAGGGGACTTCACTGGTGCTTTCCAGGGGCCAGTTCTGGCACTGCTGACCCCAAAGTCCAGGGAATGGGCTCAGAGGCCACATTATTCAGGTCACACACCCAGTGCAACAGAAGGCCTGGTGGTGGGCAAGAAGAGGGAACCATGTAAGATAAATGTGTCCTTGGAGCTTTCCCTCCTAGGGATCAGTCAGGGCCATGGGCAGAACAGACACTCCTTGTGGGGAGGGTGCCCCCACCTGAACCTACCATTCAGACCCTGGCCTGAGTCTCAGGGTGGCTTCCCAGTCAGCTCCCCAAGGGCAGCCTCAGTGCAGGGGCACCCGCAGGAAGCCTCTGATGGGCCAAGCTGGGACCATCAAAGCATCAAAAAGAATAATGAGTGCAACTGATGGAAACAGATGGAATACACAACATCTGGCATTTTCTCAGAGATTATTTAAAAAGAAGAGAGAAAGCAAAACAAACAAACCCAAACCCTCATTTGTCACCACTGACAGTAGCAATGCCCTAACTCTTCACTCTGTGCACTGGCAATTAAAGAGAAACAATTCAGCCTGTCTCTTGGCCTTTCCTGTAACTAAATTACCTTGGTGGTTGAGGAAAAACTCTTCTTTACAGAAGAATTCTAGCTGATAAATAACAAAGGAATGACCAAACACTAAGTCATTCTGCAACCCCTGAAGAAACAAATGCTGGAAACAACAAGAGTCAGTGGATGCTGAGCCCCGAGGAGAAAGCTGGCAGGAAGTAGATACTCTCAGATGCCCAAATGCTGGGGACAGATGACATGTACTCTCAAGGGGCATAGCACAAGTCTGCAACGGAGGGGTGTGACACACACTGGTCACACACAGAGGTCACACACTGGTCAATCTCCCTTCCCTCCCTGTGGGACAGCCTGACACACTGATGTGTCCTGACGTGAGGCAGCCCAAAGTCACAACATCACTGACGAGGGATTCCTGCCAAAAATGTTTAACCTGGATTAATCGAGCCTCGAGCTCCAACTTCTCATTTACTGAAAACAGAGGACAGTGGAACAAATTAAATGACTCTGCAAGAAAGTGATGAGACAAACCCGGGAGGCAGGACATTCTACAGGACCACTGACCTGTTTTTTTCACACTGCAAGAAGAAAAACAAAGGGAGACTGTTCTAGATAGGGAATCAGTAAACTACAGCCGCCTGATTTTTGTAAATAAAGTTTTACTAGAACACAACCACCCCCACTCGTTTACATGTTGTCTACGACTGCTTTTGCACTAAAAACTACAGAGGTCCCGACTTACCATTTCTCAACTTTATGACAAAGCAAAAGCGATACACATTCAGTAGAAATCGTCCTTCAAGTACCCATACGACCAGTTTTTCACTTTCAGTACAGTATTTAACAAATTACATGACATACTCAACACTATTATAAAACAGGCTTTGTGTTAGATGATTTTGCCCAACTGAAGGCTAATATAAGCATCCTGAGCACAATTAAGGAAGGCCAGGCTAGGCTAAGACGTTCGATAGGTTAGGTGTGTTAAATGCATTTTTCCACTTAAAGATATTTCAATTTACGATGAGTTTATTGGGACGTAACCCCATTGTAAGCTGGGGAGCATGTGTACTTTGAGTAGTTGTGAAAGAGACCATATTACCCACAAAGTCTAAAATATTTACTATCTGGCCCTTCACAGAAAAAGTTTTCCAACCCCTGCTGTAGATTAACACACACTTAAGAGACTAAGAAGGCAGGATAATCTACAGGACAATTGAACTAGTTTTTTCACCACACTGGCTGCAAGAAAAATAAATGGGGAGGGGGTTTCCAACTTCCTATAATAAAAGACATTTGGGGGCAATCAGGAAATACGAATGGCCTGGTTATTAGAGGACACTAAGAAATGAGTTCATTTTGTTAGGTGAGACAATGGAATTGTATTATATAGAGAAGTCTGTCCTAATTTTTTCAGAGAAATACACTAAAGTATTTAGAAATGAGTGACCTTGGCTGGTCCAGGGAAAGAAGAGAAAGCACAGGGTGGACTCAGAGTCAGGGGCTGGGCCTGCTGAGGGTATAAATCTCAGGTGCCGAGCTGCCCTGGGAGCAGATGTGGCCTCACCTCCCTCCCCATGTCCCAATGCGAGAGAAGTCTACCTAGCCCAAGCCCTGCCTCATGGGCAGGACGTGCACAGCTTGGGTACCAGGAGCCCCCTGGTAGGAGGAGGCCTAGAGAGATGCAGGGAAGGACAAATCTTGGGTCTCTGGAATGCAGGAGCAGCCAGGGCAAAAAAAGCCCCAGGCCAGCACCCCTCCCTTGGAGGCTAGCTCCCAGGCTCAGCCCAGGGTGTAGGGAGGGGAACTATGCCCCGCTCACCTCTGGCCAGGGCTGCTCTGGGGCCCATCACCTCATCCCTGGAATGTTCAGCTTATCCCCAGGGAGCCTGGCCTTGGAGAGGTGGCCTGCCCCCTAACCCACCCACTCCTGCCACTCCCTGAAGCTGTGGACTCAGAGCATATGACAAATGGCCCAGCCCAAGGGTGCCAGGCCCTCTTCTTACCTTGCAGAGGCTGCTCCAGCCACACCTCTGCAGTCAAGGGGCAGTGACAGCCCAATGTCCACAATGTCCCTCATCTCTCAGGATACTTTCTGGAGGCTCAGGTGAAACTCTTAACCAGTGGCTGGTGAGCAAAGGCTTCCAGGGCCTCTTTTCACAAAACACTCTGACCTAGTACATGCAGGGCTCCCTCCCTGATTTCCCCCCAGCCTACTACCTGACCACTGCCTGCCTCTGCCGAGCCATCCCCTCTACCAGGAATAATCCCTTGTCCCCCATCCACACCTTAGCCAGGGTCTCAGCCCCAGCATCCAAGCATGCTACCACTCCACCCCCCCAAATCCCAGGATAGGCCTGAAACTCTTTACAGGATCCCCTTTCTCACTTATGGGATCATTCGATATCTATCTTCCCCACCTTACAAGGGCAGTGACTGTGTTTTTGCCAAACCCTATGTCCCCAGAATCCAGCACAGCAACTGACAGGGAAATGTGAATGGCCCTTTCAGCTATGTTCAATTTATACTTGTTGAATGAATAAATGACCACACTAGATGAGCCCAAGTATGGGCCCTGGCTGGGTCCTCCAGGTAGATGTGGTGTGGTAATAACCAGCGATTCTAGACTACACCAGAGGCTCTCAGAAAGAGGAACTCCCCACCCCACTGTCTTAGCCAACTCTGCCCTGGAGGCCACCCCTCCTTCCCTCACAGAGTGTGGCTTCCCCCTGGGCATTCTTCTGGCCTTGCTCCAGTCAGCCAGCCACCAGCCTGTGCCTACCTTGACATGGAAAGCCTGCTGAGGTCAGTGACCCACGTCTCACTCAGTGCCCAGAGTTCAGTGCAGAGCAAGCACTCAGGAACTGCCTGTAACCCTCCGGGCAGTGAGAGCACAGAGAGGGGAGGCAAGTGGCTTCAGGGACCCAGAGGAGGCTGGAAAAAACCAAACCTCTTTTCATAACAGAGAGCCTGCTTGTCGTCATCCCCTGGGAGCTAGACTCTTATCCACACACAACTCATCAGAAGCAGGAAAAGAGGGCACTGGGCCTCCCCTGCTGCAGCCCTGTCCACAGAGAACTGCTAGGCCACTGCAGAACCCCAAGCTTGGCCCTGCATCCAGGCTCCTCCTGTGCCAGCTAAGTCCTCACTGAGGCCTAAGCCACACGGCCCAGCAGAGGCAGCAGTCCTGGTTCTGGTTCAGATTCAGGCTCTGCCCTTGCTGGCTGCATGCGCAAGTCATTTCTTCTCTGTCCGTCAGTTTCCTCATCTGTAACACAGGAATAAACAGTGGCCTCTTCCTCCCTGGGTTTGGTGAAGCTGTGTCTGAAGCCCTGTGAAATTCCCCCCCAACCCGACCTCTGCAAAAGGCCTGGTTTCTTAAGAAACAGCAATTCCAGCAACACTGGTGGAGAGACACTTCAGGCCAGTCCTGGAGGAGCCAGCAGCGGCCCTCAGAGTAGGCCCCAGGGACTTCAGCCTTCTCGGAAAACAGCTCAAGGGTTAAGTGGGCCTCCCTCCCCCTTCTCTCCTCCTGCCCTCCCCTTCTCCCACTCCCAGGCCAGCCAGGCCCCCAGGGAGAACCAGAGAGCAGACTACTGGGAGCTTCTGTTCCCCCCAACCAGAGGGGCTCACAAGGATGATGTGGAGAAGGTACATCTTGAGAAATGCCCAAGGAGAAACATGAAGCCCCCACCACAGCAAAAAAAAAAAAAAAAAAAACATCTTCCCTGAGATGGGCTGCCAACAAGTCAGGGTTGACAACCTGGACAGTCACAGGATGGGGAGGGCTGGAAAGCTGGGACAAGGGCTTTTGGGGCTTCTTTGGCTCTCAGATGCTCTCAGGGAAACTGTGGGAACCTTCCCTCTTGGGGACAGAGGGCTGCCAGCTCAGGTCCCTCCCAGCTTTAGAGGGAAAGCCTGCTTTGAGGCTACCCTACCCAGAGACATGACAAGTGGACATACGGATGGATGGTTACACAGGAACCCAGAGATCTCAGCAACCTAGACTCCTGCCCCACAGGGTGCTAGCTGCTACTCCAGGCTGTCCCATGCAGGGGCCCAAAACTGCAAACTGAAGAAAGGGCCAGACAGTCTGTCCATGACAAAGTGGAGCTCCTGAACCTGCCACCCTCTTGACCCCAATCCACACCATCTCTCGGCCCCAGCGCCAGCCCCAGCTTGTCCTCTGCTGTGTGGCTGGGGACATGTCCCCAACTTCATAGGGCCTCATTTCTCATTCATTCTTCAATCCCCATTCTTCAACCTGGTTTGAGGTCTTTCTCCAAGCCAGACCAGAGAAATAATCTTCCATCCTTCCTACCTCTCCCCTGCTCCCATTCTGGGGCTCAGTCCTGGCTCAAGCACTCAGTCCAGCAAAAGCACTGTCCAGCCTCCCATTAAAGCTCAAGCCTGTAAAAAGAACACCCACTGAGCCCTTAAGATGGGGCCACAATGACCTGCTGACTCCCAGAACCTGACATAGGACTGGGCACAGAGTAGGGGCCCAAAATACTTAGAGAAAGGCCTGGAAAGGCAAGGCTGGAGGTCAGGTGTGGCTGTGGCAGCGTCACATCAACGCAGCCTTTCAACTCAGCCTTGATGTGACTTCATTTCCTCCTCCCTCTAGCAGGCCAAAGGTGCCAGGATGAGTATGGGTGTTTTCTCTCGCACAAACAGTGGAGTGCAGGGGAAGGAGGGATGGTGGTTGATTGGAGAAGGGACCCCCTCCCCAACCATTCGACACCCTCCTGCCTCCCCAACAGGTGCTGCTCTCCTCTGTCCAGAATCCTCTCCCCACAGCGCCCCCTTGCCCTCAGCTAGGGGGTGCTTAGACTCCTTTAGCCTCCAGAATCCCTGTCCTACCCAGGTTTAGCTCAGACCTCTAACCCAGAAGCCCCAAGAAGCAGAGGCCAGGCTGGATCCATAGGGTGACAGCTGCCCCTGACCTTCCTCAGCTCCCTGGCGCAGAGTAACACCCTACCCCGACTTCCGAATGCCAAGATTCAAGAGTTGAAGCAAGCTGAGGCCTCCCTTCTCAGTCCAACAGGGTCCTGCTCACTAAACAGGAACACTAGTCCGGAATCTAAACAGAATCCCTGCTGCAAGCCCCCCGGAGGGCCAGACGTAGGACCCCTGTATCCTCTGCGGCCGCCATCCCCGTGGGTGTGGCACCCCATCTCCACCCCGTTCTCATCTTCTCCCCCCATCGCACCCATACCGAGCTGCGACGCAGCGGCTCTGTCCCTCAGAGATAATCCTGGGCGCTCCCCACCCTCACCTCGGCTGACGCAGGAGTATCCGGAGCCCGCACTCCCAGACATCACCGCCCTCCTCCCTAAGAGTGCCGAGGTACTGGAGGCTCAGAGAGACTACTCGTCCAAGGTCATACAGCGAGGCGGTGGCCACAGCGGGGACGAGGTGAGGAGGTGGCGCTGACCCCATTACACGCCCCCCTTCACTGCGTTACCCCCAGACAGCACGTCGCGGAAAACGCCTTTGTTCCACCCGCGTCCCCGGGACCTGACATCTCCCCAGCTCAGGTGCTGGGAAGTCCTGCAGGCCCGCCCCCGAAAGCGGAGCCCCGGTCCCAGCCCTCCCATCACGGCCAGTGGGGTCCCAGGCACAGACCACCTAGGACAGGGCAGGGCCGGGAAGGGATCTCAGCGGGGCACAACCGGGAGGCGATGGGAGTACGGACAGCCTCACCTTAGGGGGCCCAACCCGAGCCGGGCAGGGACGACCACGGCGGTGGCAGCGTTGGCGGCGGCGGCGGCAGCGGGGGCTCAACGGCGAGCACGAGGAAGGGAGCCCCGCGCCGCAGCCGCCCGCCTCACGGGCACGCCCCCGCCCCCGCCCATTGGTCGATCTGGGGGTGGGGCGAGAGACACTCCGAACCAATGAGCGGGCTCCGAAGAACCGCCAACGGACGCTGAGCCACTTGCGTCACGTGCAAGGGGCTCTGCGGCTGCGCTCTGCGAGCTCGCGCCTACCTTGGCCGGGGCGAGTTCTCGCGATGACCGTTGCCGGGGTTGGCATGGGGCAGGAGAGAGAGAGGAAGTAAGAGGAGCGCTTCGGCTGGGACCCGCCGTCATCCCTCCTCCTGCTAGGGGTTTAGCTCCTCCCGCCTCCGCCCCAACTTGGGATGGACCGACCCTGGGCTTTGCTCCCTCCAACGGCCGTAAGAGCGGGCTTAGGGTTAGGTAGAACGCCTTTCTCCCTGGGCTTCCACGCCCGCATCGGCAGTTGATGCGGGCCACGCTAGTTCTGTCCAGTAACTGATGAACCCCCCCCATCCTTTCCGCTCTGTCACCCCCCGAGTTTGGGCCTCTTCCTTTTTTTTCCACCCCATCCTCCCGACGCGGACCCGAGACGCGTCCTGGGTGCCCGGCGGGGCCGAGATAAGCATCTTAACAAAGAGGCACGCGAGGTGGGGGTTGGGAGAGCCTGTGCCAGAGCCCCGGAGACGGCAGGCTCTGCTCCGGTGTCCATGGAGGCGGTCGCCATGGCAGCGGGATGCGCCTCGCTCGGCACCGCGGGGTGGGATGTGGGCGCCTCCACAGAGCCGGGGAGCGAGAGGCGTGGTTCCCGGGTCTACAGGGGTTGTTGCTGCGGCTCCGCCCACCGGTCGGCGAACACCCCCCACCCCCATTTCGCTGGCGGGGACAGGTTCCCTAAAGTGCGTGCAGGAAGCCGTCCGGAGCACGCAGCTCCTTCCTTCCAACTTAACTAGGGAAAGCCGGCCTGGACGGCTGAGGGCCAGCTTCCTGTCAGAAGGGCCTGGGTCGCTGCCTTTGAGGAGCTCCCACCCTCCGCTGGATCTCCGTGGCCCCTAACCTGCCTCCTGGTCTCCCATCTGCACCCTGTTGGCAAATTAATCTGAGCTATTGTTTCCATCGCATCTGTCCCGTGTTCCAAAGCGCACCGTGCTTCGGTACTCTGCAGCAGTGCTTCACAAACCGTAGCAGCATTTTGGGTGATTTGTGCGCTCTCTGGCGTTTGAGACGCTGTCCTCCACGGTGGACACTGGAACCTTTCCACATTCTGATCCCAACTCACCCACTTCTGGCCACTCACTTCCCACTCCCACCGTTCCATGAACACCACCAATCCTCCCTATCCCCATGTATTCTCATATCTAGTCTTTTTTTAAAGGTTTAAAGTTGGCGGACAGGGCTCAAACTAGCCCGCAAACATATTCTGTTTAGCCCACATGGGACTTTTTAAAATAATTCTTTCTTCCTTGCCACCCCCTTCTCCTGGAATCAGGAATCGATTTCCAGGCTTCTTTTGAAATATCATAAGATCTAACAATATGGGCTCACATTCTAGGCTGACACTGAGTGGTAGCTGCCTTTTTAGGAGCACATCAATTTACCACAGTCCCCACCCAATCTATTTCTCACGTTTATGTTACCTCCTGGATCTGTGCAGACACTTGATTTTGTGATCCCCTCCTTCCCACCTGGAATGCCCTTCCCACTCTCCTCTCATAGCCAAAATTTACCCTACCTTCAAGCAGTTTAAGGCCTGCCTTTTTAATAAAGTCTTTCTAGCCAATTTCTCAAAATTGTCTCTGGTATGGGCTCTCTCACACACACAGACTAGCTGCCAACTGTCCACTGCGTGGGGCTATTTCCTAATTGTCACCTCCTTTCAACAAATATTTACTGAGTGTATATGATGAGCAAGTTACTGTGCTAGGCTCTGTGGAATGAAAGGCACTCAAAGTTCGGTGTGGAAGGGACACCACACAAAAAGAACTGTGGTCTCCTGTCCCTGCCAAACATTCCTCACACTCCCAGGCACTGGTCAGTCAGACCAATTAGTAGAACCTGCAATACAGAGCTGCCCATGCCTAGGGATACTACATGCTCCCAGGGAAGGCCACAGGCGGTTCTGGAAAGCCTCCAGGAGAAAATAAGAGTCTTCATGCTAGGAGGAGGTCAGGGTTGAAGTTACATGGCTGCCACAGCACTGCCCAATGGGCTTCTACACCAAGAAGAAAGTGTACCAACAACAGTGGTGCCCAGGGCCTGAGATTTCCCGTGAAGAGTGTCATACCAGAACTAGATGACTGCTTGAGAAAAGCCACAGGCCCCTACCAAGCTCCCTGGAGATGGGGGCAGTATGGAAGGAATTAGGATCAACTCCAGGTTAGAAAAACAGTTTGAACACATGTAAAATACACTCTCCAGCTCCAAACATATGGTATTCTGGACTCTATTCTTTCTGATAAAAATTAAATAACTATAACCTCATTGAAGGTTAACCCAGCAATTCCACTCTTAATTATACACCAGAAGACATGTATACAAATATTCATAGCAGCACCATTTGGGAAATTTCCAGCCCCAGACTGGAAATTTCCCATGTGTCCATCAACAATAGATGAATAAATAATTTGCACATACAATGGTATACTGTAAATGAATGATAAAGAACAACCTACTGAACACATGCAACAATATGGATGACCCTCACAGAAAATATTAAGAGAGGCCTGACACAAAAATAATATATACTCAGTATAATAATATATACTCTATTCTAGTACATGTCTTTTGGTGAGCATATGTGTGCACTTCTCTTGAGTATTTATCTAGGAATGGAATCGCTGGGACATAGCTGTGGTGGCTTTATTATGTGTCAACTTAGCTAGAGTGAAATACATTTCCCAAATTCCCTTTTATGTATGTTTCCAATTAGGGTGGGCCACAGCAGACATTTTTGCATGAGATTTGAAGGGTGGAAGAAAAGCAGGAGCCATATTGGATTTTTCTATTGGCAAACTCTGGGCAGGAGTTTTGTAGCTCACACATGTTGTTGCTGATATGCGGGCTCACCTCACTGACATGAGGTCACAGCCAGGCCTGCAACTACTCCACCTTTCCCTGGATCCTCCTTCACTTCTATGACTCCTGGGCCAAATGACAAAGGGTGCCAGCTTCTTCAGCAGTTTACCCACATCAACAAGTTTGGAGGGAGAGGGAGGGGGACTAATGAGGAATTGGTCAACAGACACAAAGAATGATTGTGTACTGCACTGATGAATAAGCTAACTATACTGATCTACCTACCACACATTGTACACAATTATTGAAAATCAACGTTGTACTCCACATGTATGTATAATAAAAAAATTAAATAAAATAAAAACATTTCATAAGAAAAAAACAAGTTTGGAGGCAATGAGAATTGAGATGAGTTTCAGTTTGTCCTCAAGGGTTCCAGCTTATGCTCATAGATTTCAGCACATTCTTTCTTTCCCCCACTTTATATCCATCTTCCTTTCCCAACTGCCTGGGGCTTTGAGCTCCAACATCAAGTGTAAAACAACAGCTTTACAGAGACTGTTTAGCCAGCTCCTACAATTACCCAAAGTCAAATCCCCGTAACAAATCCCTTCTACTTCTCTGATTGAACCCTAACTGATGCAATAGCATAGGCATATCTCTAATTTTATAAGAAATTGCCAAATTGTTTTATGAAATGGTTGTACTTATTTACACTCCCATTAGCAGAGTAAGAAAGTTCTAGCTGCTTCACATCCTCAACATAAAAGTCAGCAACTAATTTTGTAAAAACACTACACTGTGCAAACTAAACAAAGCAGGGCAATGGGCCACCAGTCTTGAGCCTCTGCTCTATGCCATGATTTTGTGGAGAACAATTTTACAATATCAAGAATACAGATGCATGTATTCTTTGACCTAGCAATCCCAGTTCTGGAACTTATCGTATAAATATACTTGCACACAGTACTAAATTATGAATGTATGAGGTTATTCATTGTCATATTATTGTTGCTAATAACAAAAGATTGGAAGTAACTCAAATGTTCATAAATAAATAACTGATAAAACAAATTTGATATGAAGCTGGCCAGTTAGTGCAGTTGGTTAGAGCACAGTGTTAGAACACCAAGATTAAGGGTTCAGATGCCTACATCAGCCGCTGCCAAATAAATAAACAAATAAATAAATTTGGTAAGGACAATAGTATTTTACATGACTTTAAAAAAAAAAGGAAGTTTTCAGAATACTGATATAGAAAGATCTTGTATTAGTCAGGGTTCTCCAGAGAGAAACAAGAGGGAGAGAGAGAAAGAGAGACTTATTATCCAGCAAGTCGCATGATCTGCAGGGTGGGTTGGCAACCTAGAGACCCAGAAGAGCCAATGGTTTAGTTCCAATCTGCGTCCAAAGGCCTGAGAACCAGAAGAGCAGATGGTGCAGTTCTTGGCCAAAGGCCAGCAGTCTTGAGACCCGGGAAGTATCAATGTTTCAGTTTGAGTCCGAAGGCAGGAAGAAAGCTGATGACCCAGTTCAAAGGCCATCAGGCAGTATGAATTCTCCTTTATTCAGGGGAGGGACAGGCTTTTCATTCTATTCAGTCCTTCAACTTATTGAATGTGGTCCACACATATTAGAGAGGGCAATCTGCTTTACTCATCTGCTGATTTAAATGTCAATCTCTTTACATTGTGTAATGATAAAATAAAAAAAAATTAATGTTTTTTAAAAAGAGAAAAGTTAATAAAATATTCCTGGTTTTTAATAAAAATAAATAAATGTTGATCTCATTCCTAAACACTCTCACAGAAACACCTAGAATAATCTTTGACCAAATATCTGGGCCCCGTGGCCCAGTCAAATTGACACATAAAATTAATTACCACAGATTTACAAGAGATGTTTTTTTTTTTTTTTTGGCAGGTAGCCAGTAAGGGGATGTGAACCCTTGACCTTGGTGTTTTAACACCGTGCTATGACCAACTGGGCTAACCGGCTAGCCTGCTATAAGAGATCTTGTTGAGTGAAAAATCAAGATGCAGAACAGAATGTGTAGTATGCTGCCTTTTTGGAAAAAAAGAGGGGGTGGGTGAGATAACAAATATGCATGTTTGCTTATGTCAGACAAAGACATCCTGGAAGAATACACGAAAACTAAAGATAGAGGTTACCTAATAGAAGTGTGCAGGAAGTGAGACTTTTCACTTCATATGTGTTCTTCTTAAAAAAAATCTTGTATATGTGTTATCTATTCAAAACATTAAATAACTAAAAAAGATAAGAAAACAAACAAAAAAAACTTTAAATAACAAATTTAAATACTTTTTATGTGGGCCGGCCCGTGGCTCACTCGGGAGAGTGGTGCTGATAACACCAAGGCCATGGGTTCGGATCCCATATAGGGATGGCCAGTTTGCTCACTGGGTGAGCGTGGTGCTGACAACACCAAGTCAAGGGTTAGGATCCCCTTACCCGTCATCTTTAAAAAAAAAAAAAATACTTTTTATGTGCCTTTCTCTCCTGCAGGACTGTGAACACTTGGGGGAAGAAATCGTGCTTTATACTCATCTTTGAGTACATAGCATTTAGCACATAGCAGGCACTCAATAAAAACTTGGGAAATTAATGAATGAATGAACCAGAGGTAATCAGATTTAGTGTGAGTCAGACAGGGGAGAGGGGAATGGGGAGCAGGGGGGAAAGAAATATGGCAGTGGTCATCAGAAGGGAAGTTTGGGGAATCAGAGAGATGTTTAAAGAAGAGTTATGGGCCGGCCCGGTGGCGCACTGGATAGTGCGCCGCTTGGGAAGCGCGGCGGCGCTCCCGTCCGAGGGTTCGGATCCCACATACAGACCGGCTCCCGCTCACTGGCTGAGCGAGGCGCGGGAGCAACGCCGAGGCTTGCGATCCCGTTGCCGGTCCCCGGTCTGGTACGGGGGCAACACTGAGGGTTGTGATCCGTTGCCGGACACGGAAAAAAGACAAAAGACAAAAAAAAAAAAAAAGAAGAGTTATGGAGTTCTAATGTGTGATGTAATCCACCTTCATATTCCCAGGAAACATTCAGTAAAACTCTCCATTTGCTTTGGGAGTTTGATTTGTAGGCTTTTGGGATATGACTCATGGCATAGCTGGATACAAGGAGCAGGGAGCTCAACAAAGAACTTCCAGGACCCAGCCCAGCCTCTGTCATCGAGGAGGCCAACAGGTTTTTGAGGGGGTGACCCCAGCCACCAAACCTGCATTCTGGGCCCACTGTGCTCCTGTGATGCAGAACCATACCCTGACCCACCTCCTGGCCCCCAGACCCCTCCGTAAGTCATTCCCACCAGCTTCACATACAGGAGCCTACAGATGTGGTTACATGGATGAAAGTTTCAGAGAACAGAACTCTGGAGATCTATTGCAGACTATGGAGCAATAATAATGCTGGAGCTGGGGCTAGTGCGTGTTAGTGGTTAGGGCTAGTGGTTAGTTTGGGGCAGGTCAAGGGTCAGCCAGAAGCCAGTGTTTAACCTAAGACCAGATTGTGTACAGGGACGGGGCTCAGACCAAGGTCAGGAGTAGTCATCAATTTTTATTTTTACTTGTTATTGAAGATATTGAATAATCTTAATATCATTGAATCAGACTAAACATAATCCTTGGTTTATGACATTCTTCCCATTTGTCTGTTAACAACTCACTTATAAAGACCTATAAACCCACCACCTGCCTCAAGAACGAAACCATTACAAACAACTTACATGTGTCTTCTTGCATCTACCCTGCTGCTTCCTCTCACAGGTAACCACTATCCTTGATTTTATCCTTTCCTTATTTTTAATTCCTTATGGTAGACAGCTCCTAAAATGGCTCCCAGTGATCCCTGTCTCCTTGTATTTGCGCCCATGTGTACCCATTTTCTTGAATGTGGGCTGGCCCCAGTGACTTGCTTCTAATAAATAGAATACATCACATATGATGGGATGTCACTTCCTAGGTTACATTAGATAAGACTGTAACTCCCATCTTGCAAGCAGACTCTACTAACTTTCTCCCTTGCTAGCTTCAGTGAAGTAAGTCATCATGCTGGAGATGGTCACATGGCAAGGAAATGAGGGCAGCTACTGGCCAACTATCAGCAAAACACTGAAGTCTGCAGTCCAACAACCCACAAGGAACCGAATTCTGTCAACAACCAAGTGAGTTTTTTTTTTTTTTTAAAGATGACCGGTAAGGGGATCTCAACCCTTGACTTGGTGTTGTCAGCACCACGCTCACCCAGTGAGCAAACCGGCCATCCCTATATGGGATCCAAACCATACATCACATATGATGGGATGTCACTTCCTAGGTTACATTAGATAAGACTGTAACTCCCATCTTGCAAGCAGACTCTACTAACTTTCTCCCTTGCTAGCTTCAGTGAAGTAAGTCATCATGCTGGAGATGGTCACATGGCAAGGAAATGAGGGCAGCTACTGGCCAACTATCAGCAAAACACTGAAGTCTGCAGTCCAACAACCCACAAGGAACCGAATTCTGTCAACAACCAAGTGAGTTTTTTTTTTTTTTTAAAGATGACCGGTAAGGGGATCTCAACCCTTGACTTGGTGTTGTCAGCACCACGCTCACCCAGTGAGCAAAGCGGCCATCCCTATATGGGATCCGAACCCGTGGCCTTGGTGTTATCAGCACCACACTCTCCCGAATGAGCCAAGGGCCGGCCTGAACCAATTGAGTTTGGATCCTTCCCCGCCCAGCTGAGCATTCAGGTGAGACCACAGTTCTGTCCAAGACTTTGATTTCACCCTTGGAAGAAACCCTGAAGCAGAGGACCTAGCTAAGCCATGCCTGGACTTGTGATCCATAGAAAATGTAAGATCATAAGCGTGTGTTTTTTTAAGACACTAAGTTGGTGGTAATTTGTCATACGGTAATAGATAACCAACACAGGTTCTTTTCAGTTTTTTTGCTGTTACCAAGAGTGTTGCTATGAAAATTGCTGTAACATATCTCCCAGAACACAGGACACAAGGACTTAAGTTTCCCCTGGCTACATGTTTAGGAATGGAATTGCTGGATCTCAGGATTTATAAAAATGTTCAACGTTACTGGTAGTCAGGTAACCATCAGAGTTAGGGTGACACCACAGCCATGGTGTCTTGGTCAGAGTTGAGACTAAAGCTTGGCCTCAGTCTGTAGAACTTGGGATCAGTCTCTGGACAGGGTTGTGAGTCATGCAGAAGGCTGAATTAGGTGTCAGTCCATGGGCTGGGCTGAGGGTAGTGTGTGGCCACAGTTGGAGAGAACCTGAAGCCTGAGTTTGGGGCTAGGTTTGGACAAAGTTAGAGGATACTGTGAGGGTAGGTTTCAGGGTCAATTTAAGGCTGGCTGCCATAGTGCATAAAATTGACCCCTGGTAAAATCATCAACACACCAAACAATGGCCACGGGGATCTGGCCACCCACAGATGAGACCCACCCTGGGCCAACAAGGCTCTTTCACTCAAGAGGGAGGTGGGTGGAGGACAAGGGGGACAGGAACTTGCTACCCTCAGGGATCCAGGCAGAAAGAGAAGGCAGGTACGGGAAAGAGAGCACAAAACCACCTTTAATGGGGCATCCCTGTCCCATATCCCCCAAACACTCCCAACAGTACCCCATGGGCAGGGACAATGATTAGTATGGGCATAGCCGATGCCTTCCCTACTCCTGGCTGATCCCGCTCCTCACCCCTTCCGCTCCAGCTGCTGCGGTCTCCATCCCCAAGTTGGGTCCCAGGTGAGCACCCAGGAGGGGCAAGGAAGCCCCTCCACTGCTGCGGGCAGCTTCCTCTATGGCCAAGGGCATGGAGAACTAGCCTGGATGGAGACACGGCTGTCCGCAGAGCTAGACGGGGACCCGTTTCTGAGGATATAAACTGAGCCAGAGGACCGCCCCCCAAAGCCCAGAGCTGGGAGCTCCAAGGCTGGACCCCAGGTGTCACACACTGCTTTAGGAGGCATGCACGTGGCTTCCGGGCTGTGGAAAATGGTCCATTCTGCTGACCCAATGGAGTGGAAGGAAGCTGCTCAGTCCTGGGCCTCCACTCCAAGTGCAACTGTCCCACCGCCCCCCCAGTCACCCCCAACCCAAGGGAGGGGGGCGCTCGCGCCGCCCCCCCCCCCCCCACCC